ATTAACCTACAGCGCCACATATATACTAAGTATGAATACATATATTCATACAATATGAATATATACACTGTGGAGATGGAGAATGCTCACAAGAAAGAGGAAAGAGTACAGATTTCATGTATCTCCAACTGGGGTACATTTACCACCCCCATTAGACTTTGCTGATTTACAATGTGCTTTGTTCAATTTGGGATGGGGGTCAAACTTTTAACAAAAGTTGACTGATCCTTGCTTCAGCAAAATTCCAGGGCTGAGGTTCATAACAACTCATAGTTTCAATTTCTGGCTATTTCTACTCCTTTGCGATGAAAGAAATCCTATTAAGGGGTATAACCTGGTTCTCTTTGAAGCCAGGAAGCAGAAGCTACATCCCACTGGACTGTAAGAACAAGAACAAATCCTTCACAAAAGACTTACCTGCAGATGTATAGATTTCTGAATAGACTTTAAATAGAATTTACAACATACCTTTCTCTCCCTCTCTTCCTAGTCTCTCCTTTTCCTAGGAGATAAATTATAGTAATAACAGAATGCTTGGTTTGTTTGAGGTATTGATGTCCTAGCTTTTCAAGTTGCAATTATAACCTGAGGTGACGGATAGAAATCCCCTTGGTAGTTCAGTGTTACAAGCAAGTGAAACTGGAGCAACAAGACTCACATTGTTGATTCATGATATGTGGATTCTTCTTATGGGGACAAAATGAAAGTTCAATGCCACTTTCAAAAGTATGTGAAAACTAGAAGAATAGTTAAGTTCACGTTTTCCTCCTCTGGTGATCACATTATTAAGAAGTAAAAACCAGAATGTCTAGTTTTAGGAAAACAACTTAAAATCTCTTAATAATGATAAGGGGTGGAGTGGGGGCCAGGAGAATTCATAAACTGGATAACTGGCAGTAATGAAATACTATAATGTTTGCTATGAAGTTGACATTGTTCACAGGAGAAAGATGTTTCTGGAAAATTGTATTGAAATGTTTTTCAGTCAGGTGAGGTATCAATTTAAAGCACTGGTGGTGGTAGTCTTTCATATTTTGTTAACCTGTAAACTTTGTGGTATCTGTTTAGAAACCACATGAAACAGTTCCTAGGGTTTTCTTAAATTTGGATAAAACAGTATTTAGTGTGTTTGGAAAGGATATGCAAAGGAAATGTTGCTGTTGTTGTTGTGATGTGCCGTGGAGTCACTTCTGACTCATAGTGACCCTGTACAGGGTTTCTGAGGCTGTAAATCTTTCTCCCGCAGAACAGCTGGTAGTTTCGAGCTGCTGAACTTGAGGTTCGCAGCCTGATTCGTCACCACTACGCTACAAATGCAAAGGAAATAATGGTGGGGAAAACTCTAAAGTAGCTGAGCACCAAATTCTATTTTTCTTTGTAAGTTGTGTTACATAGAAGAATAATTACTAGCTTTAATTTAGACATGCCAAAGGTTTCAATCCTAACCATATCTCTAACTTACTAGCAGTGTGACCTTCAGCAAATTATGTACATTCTTTTTGCTTCCGTTAATCATCTGTAAAATGAGACGAATAATATCTGCCACATCATTTTTTTGTTGTTGTTTGCATTAGATGAGAAAATATGTAAAGCATTTGTATAATAAATACACAATAGTAATGTATTTTGTAATTATGTTAACAATTTTTAAGATATAAACCCAGTTTTTTTGATTCCCACAGAAAAATGCATGATACATGAATGAACAGAATTATCACCCTAACAAACATCCATGTAAACATCACCAGGTTAAGAAAACCAATATCATCATTGCCCTACAAGTCCCTTCCTTGTTCCACTCCCAATTAACAGTCTCATTCTTTGCTGCAGTAACCACTTTCTTGACTTTGAACACTGTTGATTTTTATTTTTCTGTTGTTGTTGAGAATATACATAGCACAACATTCACCAATCCAACCATTTTCACACATACATTCAATAGTACTGATTGCATTTTTCAAGCAGTGCAGCCATTTTCACCCTCCTTTACTGAATTGTTCCTCCCCCATTAGCATCAACCCACTGCCCCCTGACATTTCCTATCTTTCAAGTTTGTCAATTTGGTACCATAAAGGTAGTTCTACAAAGAGCATCATTCTCAAGGCAGCCATTTTTACAAGGTAAGATAAACTACTGTGTTTCAAGAAGACTTCAGGGGATATTTCTGGTTTAAGGCTTAAGGTTTTGTTTTGGTTTAAGGTTTATCCCCGGGGCAATTGTTTCAAAGATTCATTCAGCCTCCATAATCAAAGTCTGGAGTCCATGAGAATTTTTAATTCTGTTCTGCATTTTCCCTCTTTGATCACGATTTTTCTATAGAATCTTTGATCAAAATGTTCAGCCACAGTAAAATTGAGCACTATCAAGATACTTCTGGTCTTATGGCAAAGGAAGTTGTTCATGGAGTCAATAGGCATTATTATTATATGCCTGTTTTTGAACTTTCTACATATGGAATCACACAAAATGAGTAACTTCTTAAGTTCTACTTTGTGAGATGCATCCCAGTGTTACTTCTAGCTCTAATTTGTTAGTTTTCAGTATATAAATATTCTACAATACAATCTGTTACTACTGGATCTTCAGGTTGAAAACTTTGAAGATAAAGATTCTATGATTTTCTTGTCTGTCTTTTTTAATAGAATTTTTTAACTTTAAAATGAAAATAAGAGGCCATGGTAAATATTAATTTAGCAATTTGCTAGATCTCAAAAACCTTAGGAATTATCAGGTTTGGTCTGTGTGCTAAAAGCTTTGAAGACTAAGAGTTTATAAAGGAATATTATGGATATATGTAAGTTGTTCCACTGTGAGAAATCAAGCAAGAAAAGAACACTAAAAATCCAGTGCTAATCAGAGAGGGTGTTTAGAGGCATCTCAGAATGAATGAAAAAAATCAGAACAGAAAAATATTGTAAATATTTGTGATACTTTCAAGGAGAGTACTGACTGGAATGCAAGGTTGGTTTGAAACTCGGAAACCCTATACAAGGTTAGTTTTGAGTCTGAACTGATTAGAAAGGACTTAACAAGAGAAGTAGCAACACTTTCGGGGAGAGTTCATAAGAAATAGTAGGTAATACTGGATCTAAATAATACCAGTTCTATCTTCTCTCTTTTCCTTCCTTACTATCAGTCTGTAAGTTCACCTTTGTCTTTCTTTTTTAAAGAATTTTTCAATTCAATGAAAAGCACTTTAAATGTAAACTCAGCACCTAACTAGGTTAGAATTAGTAACTTTGAGTGCTTCCTCTTCTATTTACTGATTGTAGAACTCTGAACAAATCACATGGCCACTCTCAGCCCAAGTTTATCTCAAAATGAAGGTAATACAAGCTACTCTTATGTCTCAATGGATCTTAATAAGAATCAGATGGGATATTTGTGAATTTTGTCAATTGTAAAAGATTACAGAGATTATTTTAATGAAAATAAATGAAGGCTGTTGTTGTTATATGCCATCAAGTCAGTTCTGATTGTATAGGGTATCTGAAGAGCAGCTGATGGATTTGAACTGTTGACCTTGTAGTTTTCAGTCCAGTGCCTATCTCCAGAAGTCCCAATTGGAGGTTAAGTTGTTAAGCTGTTAATAGTCATAGAGTTGGTTCCAACTCATAGTGACCCTGTATAGGGTTTCCAAGGAGCAGCTGGTGAGTATGAACTACTGACTTTGCAGTTCAAATCAACCAACCTTGTGGTCCAGTGCTTTAGAACAGATACAGCATATCAGTTAGTCTTCAAAACAATGCTAAGAAGTCAGTATAATTATTGTGATTATTTTTCATAGGTTTTTGTGACTGGGGTCCTGGTGTGATGATGTTAGAAAAGAACTAGATTGGCTAATCACTCCTCAGAAGTCCTAAACAGACTTGCTGAATCAGAAATAAGCTGATAGCATTTAACACAACATTTGTGACTGAGGCCAGAATTTGATAAAAACTTTTTTCTGTATCACTGTTTTTATCACTTGTGGCATCTTTCTTGTTTACAAGACAGAATGGTATACTTGAATTAATATGACTTCAAACCCCAGCTCTGCTACCATCTAACTGAGTGAATTTTTTCACGACTTTCCTCCCCACCAACCATATTCTTCATATATAAAATAAGGGAGTTGGATTAAATAATTACCTAAAATCTGAACGTTCTCTAATTCTTCCTAATTTAAGATTAAAAAGGATGAAGTGAAAAGTATTATAAAAAGAGGTATGCCAATTTCAAAATCAAATAACTGAACTAGATGCTAAAAAATGTTTTCACATAAAGTTTCTGGATCTCTTTCAAGAACTGATCAAATTAAGGTATAATCATAATCTCAGGTTCATAATGGATATGTTAAATTAATCTTTATAAAGAATCTGATTCCTTAAACAGACTTAAGAAATCAGTCAGTCCTACATGCCCAATATTTACATTAAAAATAACTGAGCAAAGCCATATATCCACGGGATTTCAAAAAGTTTATGAAAAATTAAATTGAAAGATAATGGATATTTTCCCTTGAACTTTGTGAAGCTCCCTTATGTGTATTTACACACAAACACAAACAATACATCTATTGTATTGTTTAGTCTAGAGCTAAATGACTTTCCAGCTTTGCCTGATGAAGTTTTGTATGGTATGGTATATCCTTGGAGTACTGGTGTGTGCTGTAGGATAAGAATTAACTGCAAGGCAGGCAATTAAAGCTCACTGGTACTTTTTGGAAACCCTATTCAGGATTGCTATGAGTTGGAACCGACTTCACAACACACAACAACATGGTATTTCCTTAGAAGGAAGGAATAAATATTATATGGAAAGTAGAATTCAGTAACTTTAGTTTTAATAATTCAAAGAAAACAAGATTTTAGAGGTAAGAATTTGGTATTATCATCTCAACAGTGTCTCTAGATTTTAATAACTTTAAAAATATAGATCCATTTTTAAAACCTTTATAATACTTCAGTTAATAATTCAAACTGCTATTATTTCTTTCAGATTATTTAATAACACCATTAAAGAAGGCTACAATGTTGACCTTAGCCAAAATTCTGTTGATATCAACTTTTTTTAGTCTACTACTACTTGGAAGCTTTGGAAAAGAAAATTCAGAAATAAACACAACAGACAACAACATAGAAGTTCTACAAACGATGAGAAAGAAATCTATTCCTTTGGAAAGTGAAGGGAAATCGGAAAAAGAAAATAGAGAAAATTTAAATATCAACACAAGTATTTCCCCTACTTTAGAGCCATTAAATGAAGAAATACATACAAAGACAACTTTCTCCAGTGACTGGTCAATAGAGAACTCTTCTGGGAGTATAGGACCCACATCTACATTTCCCACCAGTCCGCCATTAGTCATTGGCTTTGTGTCTAAATTGCCTTTGAACTCATCTGTTGGGAATGAACATTCTTTGCCTGCCTTAGTATCTCCCAGTGCTACATCACCTGCTACACCTTCAGAAGAGTTCACTACATCTGTGAATACTTTGACCAATGACACTAGGAATGATCCAATGAACAGCTCTACAACAGTTAACATCCTGTCTCCAGCACCAACCACCAAGTCTGTGACCCCCTTGATAATAGAACCAACTACATGGTTTAGCACCATCAGTGATAGCTGGACTGAGTTTACTTCTTACCAAGAAAAAACAACTGCACAACCCACCCTAAAGTTTACCAATAGTTCAAAACTCTTTCCAAATACTGAAGACCCTGAAGAAGGTAAATATAGACTTAACTTTTTTATTATGTGAAATGATATCTCTAAGTAGACAGCAGATTAAATCTAAGAAATGTGACAAATTTGGAAGAAAAAAAAAAAAGACAATTTAAGAGCACAGATTGTTTTTACTTTGGGGAGTACCAAAATATTCACTGGAAATATCAAAGTGGTTTTAATACTTAAATTAGCATGGACTAGTCACTACTTAGTATAGGGGCAGGATAGGAGAAAATTGGTAAAATGAGTATTGTAGATTGAAGAGATACCAAGGTACAGTTTTGAGATGGTGGGTAAGAATTTTCACTGAATCTTAGATATTCATAAGATATTGGGAATACTCTAAGAACAAAGTCTGTGTGTGTAGCTTTGAAAATGGAATCAAATGACTGAACTTATACATTACTCAACACTACATCGCAATCACAGGACAATAATAGATAGAACTCTGATATTAAAAGATTTACAATAACTTAAAAGGAATCATTCCTTAGGTTTTAATTTAATAGCTACAGAATATCACAAGAATAAAATTGAACCTTGGTTATCACAAGAAAATTATATTATGTACACATTTTTTCTGTTTCCTTTAAGGTTTATATCAATCTATCTTCAAATCAGAAAATGGAAAAGCTCTTTAAGATTTAATGATTCACTGATCATATTTTCTTTTCTTTTCATATCTAAACATAGTTTTGTTTCCCTGAAATGTTTTTTTTTTTTAAATACCCTCTCCACCTTCCCCAAAATTCACTAATCTTTAATATAGTCTAATTTCAGGTTATATTACCAATGTAAAAAGCAAATCATATATACAAATTCCTGTTTGAAAATTGTTGCCGTGGACTAGAACTGTTTTGAATTCTAAAACCTAATCTTTATTAAAGTACCACAACTAGTTTATTTTGTATGTATATATTTTAATGTTATAATATTAATATATACTTTAAATCTTACATAGTCCCATATTCCATAGAAATTTTAAAAAATATTCCTTCATTTGTCTCTCTAAATTCAAGACAGGTAGTCCCAAGGTTATAAATATGATCCATTCCTAAAGTGTCTTTAAGTCAAATTCTTAGAAACATTGAAACAGATGCATCCATCCAATCATTTAGCCTTTAGCACAAGAAAATGCTCTAAGGCTTTTCAATAATTTTAATCTGCATGTGCAGCAAGTGAAGAGGATTGAGATGAAGACTTTGTTGGGAGTAGTTGTTGTTAAGTGCTATTGAGTTGGTTCCAATTCATAGTGATCCTATATAGGGTTTCCAAGAAACAGCTGGTGGATTTGAACTGCTGATCTGTAGCTCAAGTTCAGTGCTAATCTTACAGCATCACACTAGGAGTCTGGGTTTGTTCAGCTGTTTCTAAGTGAGGGCAAATTGTCCTAAGGAGCCCTGGTAGCATAAAGGATTATGCGTTAGACAGCTAACCACAAGATCAGCAGTTCAAATCCATCAGCTGCTTTGTGGGAGAAAGAGGAGTCTTTCTGTTTGCATAGAGATTTACAGCCTTGGAACTCTATCCAGAGTCAATATGAGTTGGAACTGACTCTAGAGAATATCACTGCCACTACTAGCATTACTCTCATTTAAAGACACTCAGAAAACTTTGAATTTTATTTAATAATTCTATTGTGCTCCTATAAGGTTAAATTTTACAAAATCAGGCAGTAAGGTGGAATCAGAAAACCTTAAGACCCCTTGTGATATAAGTAATAAGCAGTGGTAGAAATGAAAAAAAAAAAAATTTAGAAAATGCACTAAATAGTTGGATATTGTTGTTAAGTGCCCTCAAGTCGGTTCCAACTCACAACGATTCTGTGAGGAGCTGGTGAGTATGAACCACAGATCTTGCAGTTTAAACCAACCTGGAGGTCCACTGCATTATCTTGTAGCACCACACAAGGGTTCCATTTTGACATTTGTTGTTGTTCAATGCCATCAAGTTGGTACCGACTCATAGCAACTCTATGCACAGCAGAACGAAAAACTGCCTGATCCTGGGCCAACCTCACTACCATTGCCACGCTATGGTATTGAGTCCATCGATGCTGCCACCTGGCCAATCCATCTCATTGGGGAACTTATTCTTTTTCTCTGACCCTCCACCCTACCAAACATGATCTTCTTCTCCAGCGACTGGTACCTCCTGACAATATGTCTGAAATATGAGACAAAGTTTGGCCATCTTGGCCTCTAAGGAGCACTCTGGCTGCACTTCTCCCATCATGGATCTGTTTGTTCTTTTGGCAGCCCATGGCACTTCCAAAATTCTCCTACACATAACTCAAAAGCATCAATTCTTTTATGGTCTTCCTTATTCACTTTCCAGCTTTTGCATGCATATAAGGTTACTGAAAATACCATGGCTTGGGTCAGGCACGCCTTAGTCCTCAAGCTGACATCTTTGCTCTTCAACACTTTAAAAAGGTCTTGTGCAGCAGATTTACCTAATGCAATACGTTGTTTTGATTTCTTGACTGCTGCTTCCATGAGTGTTGATAGTTGATCCAAGAAGAATGAAGTCCTTGAAAACTTCAATCTTTTCTCCATTGATAAGAATGTTGTTTATTGGTCCAGTGGTGAAGATTTTTGTTTTCTTGACATTGAGATGCAATCCATACCAAAGGCTATGTTCTTTAATCTTCATCAGTAAATGTTTTAAGTCCTTTTCACTTTCAGCAAGCAAGGTTGTATCATCTGCTAATCGCAGGTTGTTAATGAGTCTTCCTCCAATCCTCATGCCACACTTTTCTTCATAGAACCCAGCTTCTCAGATTATTTGCTCAGCATACAGGTTGAATAAGTATAGTGGCATAATACAACCTTGTTGTACAGGTTTCTTAATTTTAAAACATTCAGTGTTCCCATGTTCTGTTCGAACAACTGCCTCTTGGTCCAGGTACAGATTCATCTTGAGCACAATTAAGTGTTCTGGAATACTCATAGTTTGCAGTGTTGTCCATAGATTGTCATGATCCACACAATCAAAAGCCTTTGTGTAGTCAATAAAGCACAGGTAAACATCTTTCTGATATTCTCTGCTTTCAGTCAAGATCCATTGGACATCAGCAATGATATCTCTCATTCCATGGCCTCTTCTGAATCCGACTTGAACCTCTGGAAGTTCTCTGTTAATGTATGCTTGCATTTAGTAAAACTTTACTCACATGAGATATCAAAGAGATTGCCCGATGATTTCCGCATTATGTTGGGTCACCTCTTTTTGGAATGGGCACAAATATGGATCTCTTTCAAGAAATTAGCCAGATAATTGTTTTCCAAATTTCTTGGCAGAGATGAGTGAGTGCCTCCTGTGCTGCCTCACTTTCTTGAAAGATTTAACTTTTTATTCCATCAATTCATGGTGCCTTGTTCTTTGCCAATTCCTTCAATGTAACTTGGACTTCCTCCTTCAGGATCATTGGCTCTTGATCATATGCTACCTCTTGAAATGGTTGAACATTAACCATTTCCTTTTGGTACAGTGACTCTCTGTATTCCTTCCATCTTCTCTTGATTCTTTCTGCATCATTCAATAATTTGCCCAGAGAATCTTTCAATAATGAAAGTCGAGGCTTGAATTTTTTTCTTCAGTTTCCCTCAGCTTGAGAAATGCTGTGCCAGTTCTTCCTTTTTGGTTTTCTGACTCCAGATCTTTGCATATTTTGTTATAATATTTGGTTTTATCTTCTAGAGCTGAGCTTTGAAATTTTCTGTTCAGCTCTTACACTTCTTAATTTCTTCCAATTGCTTTAGCATCTCGATGCTGGAGAGCAAGTTTCAGTTCTAATTTGGACTATAGAATCACAGAAAGTTGAACAAAGACACTGTTTGATACTATTGTTGGTGTTAAGTGCTACTGAGTTGGTCCAACTCATAGTGACCATGCCTAGAGTTTCTAGGCTGTAAATCTTTGCAGGAGCAGAAAGTCCATCTTTCCTCCATGGAGATGCTAGTGCTCTTGAGCCAATGAATCTGTGGTTCTCAGTCCAGTGCTTATCTTACAGAGCTACTACACTCCCTGCCTGATACTATTAGAGATAACAATTTTAGTAAGTTGCATTATTCCTCAGATGTGACTATAGCATCCTGATTTATTAAAATAAAGCTATAATGGTGTAGAAATAATATATAGGAAACTGAACACAACAAAACTAAAGGCCACGTCTGTCTCTTGAGATCAGGGTATAATGACAGTAATTTAATAAAACTAAATAAAATTTATTGATGACTTAGCCTTCAAATAAAATACTCAATAAAGGGGATGATAGAGTGAAATTTTGGACTCCCCTAAACTCACACCTCCATATGTGTTCAGGATGTGCAAGGTGTAGCAAATACCTTACTTTGGTCCATTTGTTGTATTTGGAAATATCCCGTATCAGGATATCCTAAATGAGAATATATTGTTTTTCTTCCCCAGTACTTATTTACAGATAGTAGCTTTTTATAGATACAAGCTCAAAGATCATTTCATCATTAAAGTTCAAGAGAGATTCAGTGTTGAGAAAAGCTTTAATGAGTAAAACGTTTAACATTAAAATTATGACTTAATAGTGTATACATATAGAAATTTAGTACTACTAACACTCTGGTGTGGTGCTGTGGATCAGCATTGGACAGTGAACCTTAGGTTGGCAGTTCAAACCACCAGCTGCTCCTTGGACATTCTATACAGGGTCGTCATGAGTTGGAACCAACTCAAGGGCACTTAACAAGTTAATTGGTGATGAGATAGGTATAAGATAATGATTTATGAGTATTTCAAGATAATTAAAATGATAAGTAAAGTTTTATCAGGAAGTATATTTTGTGAATCCTGTATACTCAGTACTTTATAATGCACATACAAATATTATCTAGTTTTAAAAAACACTGTTACTCATGCTTTGGTATATGAAAAATCTAGATTTTTAATTTTAATATATCTCATCTGTAAATTCATGTTTTGCCTTTTTGTTTGTGTTTTAGAGAACAGAAGCACAGGAGTAGTGTTTGGGGCCATCTTAGGGGCTATTCTGGGTGCTTCCTTGCTTAGTCTTGTTGGTTACTTGTTGTGTGGGAGAAGGAAAACGGACTCATTTTCCCATCGGCGACTTTACGATGACAGAAATGAACCAGGTAAAACAACTTTCTGGACTTTACCTGAACTTCACCTGGTTTAATTAAGTGAGGATACTAATGTTTGTTGCATTGCTTAAAAGGGACTCAGGGATCCATATAACAAAACCAAAGATTTATGGAGATACACTCTGTTTCTCAAAGAACAAAACCCAAATAGTTATGGACCCTGAGTAGAATTTAAAACCATTTGAAACTGTTGGCTTATTATATCAAGATTTGTTTTAAATAGTAATCCCTGACTCTAAAACATATCTATAAAGTTGGAAGATAACAGTACCATATTAAAGAATAAAACTGGTCAGTTTTGTTAAATGATTGAAAAGTTGTTCTTTGCCATCATTGCAGCTCTTAGTAATAATTTAAATAATGATTTTTTCTCCCTTGTGGTTTTTCACAAGTTTACACACAAATCATGTCATTTTCGTTAGGTACTCTCCAGTAGGTTCATACTCAGAGGATTTCAGAGGCTGTAAATTTTTATGGGAGCAGAAAGCCTCATGTGCTTTCCAGGAGCAGAAAGTGGAGAGGATGATGGGTTTGAATGCCAACCTTTCTGTTAGCAGTCCAGTGCTTATCATACAGCACCACCAGGGCTCCTTACACAAAAACTAAGTTCCAGTCAGTTCTAATTCACAGTGCCCCTGTATAGGGTTTTCAAGGAGCAACTGATGGGTTTGAACCACTTACCTTGTAGCTAACATTCCAGTAATTCCAGTATTTAGCTTGTACTGTCATACTTCTATTAATCATCCTATTTAATCTTTATAATAATAAAAAAAATCTGTAGGGTTGAATTTTCCACTCAGCTATTGGGAAAAGATATCAACCATAATATTTATAAATGAGAAATGCATCTTCCAAAAATAAAGTTTGATTTTTAATATAATTATATTAGTCAGAACAGAAATTAAATAACTTCAGATGCTGGATTCATTTCCTGTTTGTTCTTCAGAAAAACAAAACAAAATTGTTTTCACATTTGTACAAAAGACTGTTGCCACCATATCTAATAGCTGAATATCTCTTTGGGTCCCACTGGTGATAAGTCTTACTAATTTTTTTTTATAAGTTCACACCATGAATGATATATAATTCCTTTTCAGAACCAAGTCCATTAATTGTAAATTGAACTGAATTCTGCTTATAGGCTTCTAGTAAATACAAATCAATAAAAAGTGACATTCTTCCCAATTAAAGGATACAATTTCTAATGACAGTGATTCTCAAACTTTTTTTAAAAAAATCTCAGAATCTTGTCTTTCCCTCTAGCCTTACGCAAAAGCTAAGCTAACTGAATAACTAAATTGCTAATAGTGCTCCAAGATGCTCAGGGTTATTTTCCTTTGTAAATCAATTAAAGTTCATTAAGAGTATATTTGATTATTTTCTTTTAAATAGGAAAACAAAAACAAAAATGGCCCCTGTATCATTAAGAAAATCTCAAGTAAATGACAACTGGGATTTATCAGAACACATAAGCTTTAACAAATTCCTCTTTTCCACTTCTATCTTAAACAGTTCAACTATATAGATGCTGAGACAGTTGGTATAATGACACTGATTTTAAAATTCTCCTTACTTAAAAAGATGTTTTTATAGTCTAAGTTAAAAATTATGAACATGCTGACAGGTTTCTGAAACTAAGATTCAAATGTCAACAATGCACATAACCATACCTCTATATACATAGTGCTGATGACATTTCTCTACTTAATCTGTTGTTCAACCTTAATGAAATTTGGGAAGTAAAACTGTTCTTTTAGACTCTGGAAGATATGTAGCTTGAAAAAATACTATTATTTAAAACTTCATAATCAATATCTAAAAAAAATCCTTACAAAAAGTATACCTACTATATCATCTAGTACAAACTCCTAGATTCAGTAAGATGCTTGAATCTACGTCTTTCAGACCACTACTATAAAACAATTTTGTTTTGTTACTTTTTCAGTTCTTCGATTAGACAATGCACCAGAACCCTATGATGTGAGTTTTGGGAATTCTAGTTACTACAACCCTACTGTGACTGATTCGTCTATGCCAGGAAGCCAAGAACAGGCACACGATGGCATTCCTATGGATGACATACCTCCACTTCGTACCTCAGTATAAAACTAATGGAAAAAAGGCATCAGACAACAAGTGTTCACCTACATCCATGCCTTCTCACAGATTCATCTACCAAAAGATGATACAAGATCACTGTCATGTGGATTATGCTAAAGAGAACAAGGAAAGCATGAGACTAGTAGCAGAAGCACACACAAAGAGTGAATCACCATAGGTTTCATTTCTTACAATTTTTGGCTGTTCTAAAATATTTATGAAACAAACCAAACCCAATGCCATTAAGTTGGTTCTAACTCCTTGAGTCCCTGCATAGGATTTCAGAGACTATAAATCTTTATAGGAGCAGACAGTCTCATCTTTCTCCCAATTAGCAGCCGGTAGGTTTGAACTACTGACCTTACAGTTTGTAATACAACACCACCAGAGGTTCCAAAACACCCATTTGCTAAGTGCCGTGGAGTCGGTTCCGACTCATAGCGACCATGCACGGGGTTTCCAAGGCTGTAAATCTTTACGGGAGCAGAAAGCCTCATCTTTCTCCCTCAGAACCGCTGGTAGTTTCAAACTGCTGACCTTGCGGTTTGCAGCCCGATTCGTAACCACTACGCTACCAGAACTCCTTAACTAAACTTAATTTGGATTTTGATCTATAATTTCCTAGTAGGACATGTATATGCAATAAGGTAACATGAGATCATTCTGCTATGAATTCCCTGTAATAAAAATTCTTCAATAACAGCAGGGAATCTTTTTTTATTACTTTTTAAAAACGGAAACCAAAGGTTGATTTTTCGCTATTCTCTGTATTATAGTACTGCCATATTTCAAGACTGACATTCTTTTGACTGGAAATTGTGAGGATGGTTCTTGAATTTTTGACTTACAATACTATAGATGTTATAGAACAGAGTTCTTATTACTGGTAAATTAAGTCTCAGGAATGGAGAGACCTGAATTTCAGTACACTGATTTTTCTGCATCAGCATGATTATTCCTTGGAGTTATCAGATTGACCATGATTTTGCATTCAACTGGGCCATGGTAGGGAAACTACTAACTGTGAAAGTAATAGTTTCTCTTAGACTTCAGTGGGTAATGAATTCAAATCTGGTTGTATATATTTTACGTTTCAACTGAATGCCTTAAGAAAATCAATGAGAAACATGGAGAAAAAGTCAGACAAAGTATATACCTGCACATAACTTAACACACTTTTAAGATGTTAGATAGAATCAAGATTTATTATATGTTAGATATTATTGTTCAATCATATAGAGTAGATTCTGGATATCTAAAAGTATGTAGTCAAAAAAAAAAAAAAAAATGGAAACAGATCCAACCAACCAAAGTTTCCCAGCATCATCTGCACCAGCAATAATATAAGAAGGTTAATTTGGATTCTAGTATGCTTCTGTTTTCGGAGTCCTGGTGTGGCGCTGTGGGTTAATGCGCCAGAATGCAAAGTCATTTGAACTGCGAGGTCAGCGGTTCAAGCTCACCAGGTTCTTCTTGGAAACCCTATACAGGGTTGCTAAGGGTCGGAATCGACTCGACAGCACTTAACAACAACAACAATGCTTCTGTTTGTCTTTAATTACTACTTGCTTTGGGCAGGAAAATATGCTCCTTAGTTTAGATAGGTATAGGCTTTAGGAAAGACAGTGTTTGATCAAGAGAAAAATTCTCACAGAAGCAATCATGATAAATGAGAAAGCACCAAGCTAGAAACTTTATTATTGAATTGACAAATGTGCTTATGTGTGAGAGCGTGTGAGAGAGAAGACTAAATACAGCAATAACCTCAGGAAGTAGAAACTAGAAAGTAATAAAAGAATATACTTACCCCATATGGCCATAAAAATAGCAAAGAAGACTGTCCCTCCATTATCAAACAAATATGTCACCTTAATGAAAAACAAAAAGGTTAGTCTAATATAAAAGTTCAATAACATTTAGGCGCTATGATTTTTTCCCAATGGAAATACAGTATTTAATAGTTTGTAGATATAAAATATTTTCATGAGTTCTTGTGATATTTTCTCATGGGAAGAGGTGATGGAACAGTGTTCTGTCTCTTTTCTTCTCAACTCCCTCTGGTTTTCTTTGTACCTCACTTCTCTAAAGTGGTTTTAGAAACTTCTGGAAGTATTTCTGGGCCACAGATAGTCAAACTATAATGTGAGGTGGTATGAGGCTCACTTTGCTGGTGAAGCATACCTACTTCATGCTCTATAAGCAACATCTCCAGGTGTAAATAATGTTTCAAAATGCTGTCAGTCACTGCTTCTAATGAAAGATATTAAAATGCTATCCCAAAGGTTGAGTCTTCAATACTTTCCCTATTATACTACTGCCGTAGTTCAAGACTGGTATTCTTTGACTGGACATTGGAAGGACCGCTCTCATACATCTTTCAGAATGTGCCATGGGTGTAATAGTGGCTACAAAAAGTAATGAGTCCCACCGTAAGTTGTTCTATGTTTCATAAATCACTGAGTGTTTGGGATGTAATTCACCTGTATCTGAATTAGATATTACCTGAAATTTGGTAAAGAACAATGTTAACAAATACAATGTTCACAAATAAAATGTTCAGGGTTGCAAAGATTATTTTATTTTAATAAAGTGTCAATTCAATTCACCTTTGCTTCTTTTCATTTTCATGATGCCTTCAGTATGTGTTTAAGTTAGTGATAAAGATTAAACCAATACAATCAAGGACCTAGATGTTTGACAGCAATATAAATATCACAGAAACTATGGAAAGTAGATGCTCTGCTCTTACAGGAAGGAGAGGTTAATTATGGGTTTAAGATTAGTAAAAGTAAATATAAAATATAATGGTGTCTTCCTGACTCAGTGTAAAATCTAGAGGATGTTCAATGGGCACATTAAAACTCATATCTGTATTTTCAGTGTGGGAGTCCTGGTGTAGCGCTGTGGGCTAATGCGCTGGACTGCAAGGTCAGTTTTAACTAGAAGGTTGGTGGTTCAAGCTCACCAGCTGCTCCTTGGAAAACCCATAAAGGTTCACTGAGTCTGAGCCAACTTAATGGCACTTAACATTTTAATTGTAATCTATGAAACATACTGAAAAATAATATATGAAACAATCATGGGATATATTTTTCTGTAAAACAGGAATATTAAAATATCAACATGAAACAGATGTGCTCATTTTAGAAGCTTGTGAGTAGATGCAAGATGCCCTACATAGCTTTAAAACGCTATGACTTTAAGGATTTGTATTTCTAAAAATGTAAGAATTGGTTTTCAGAACAATCATCAATATACACACTGTGTACAGGAAAGAAAAGATCTTAAGTAAATTCTCCTAAAATTACACTGAGCAGGAATCCAGATTTTTTTCTTCCCTAATGAGCTCTGGTAGCGTAGTAGTTACGAGTCGGGCTGCCAACTGCAAGTTCAGCAGTTCGAAACTACTAGCGTTTCCACAGAGAAAGATGAGGGGTTCTGCTCCCATAAAGATTTATGGCCTCAGAAACCCTATGCAGAGTCACTATGAGTCAGAACCGACTCCATGGTACTTAACAACAATGGAGTCCTGAAGTCCTGGTATGGTGCTGTGGGCTAATAGGCAAAACCAGTTTGAACCACAAGGTCGGTGGTTCAAGCTCACCAGCTGCTTCTCAGAAATCCTATACAGGGCCGCTATTGGTTGGAATTGTCTCGATGGCACTATACAACAACAATAACAAATGGAGTCCTGGTGTGGCACTGTGGGTTAATGTGCTGAATTGCAAAGTTGGTTTGAACCTCAATGTTGGCAGTTCAAGCTCATCATCCACTCCCTGGAAACCTTATACAGGGTCTTTTTGGGCCAGAACCAACTCGATGGCACTTAACAACAACAAAAGCAATGCATCCCACAGAGATACCTGAGGTTGCCAAGCAACTGAACAGCTGTTTGTTTTCCTGTATAAACTATCATTGGACTTAGAGGTCACTAAGAGATAGGGACTCTCCCCTGCTCCAGAAAAAGATACACTTTCAGGAAAGTGGCAAGTAAAATGCTACATTTAAAAACAATTGGGTTGTATGGACATGATTTGTTATTCTTCCTTTTTAAAAGCTTTTTTTTTCCTTCCCTCTATCTCAACAAATTTTCAGATTTTCATTGAAACATGATTTTTTTAGAAACACATTGATAGCTAAAGGCATTACATACATGAAATGGAAGATGAAGTCAGAATGAGAATTCAAGGCTTTAGAAGTTTTCCTAAGGTGAAGTATAACAGTAATAAAGCATTGTTTTAGATTTATTAGTCATCTCATGGGAACATATAAGAGAGTCCATGGGAATAGTGAGAGCAATTTTTGTTGTACTGGAGTCCTTGGTGATGCAAACAGTTAACATGTTTAGCTGTGAACTGAAAGGCTGGAGGTTCAAGTCCATCCACGGGTTTTTTGGAAGAAATGTCTAGTGATCTACTTCCAAGAAATCAGTCATTGTAAACCTTGTAAAGTCTCCACGAGTTGGGATGGACTTAACAGAAACTTTTTATTTTTACTGGTGCTTAAAGATTGAGGTGCTACAGATTTTATTTAGGGTTCTCACCAAAGGGTATTGATAAGAAATCACCCTAGGAATAGGACAGAGGACGAAAGAAGAGTCACAAATACCTCAAATGGTCCAAATTAGATTATGGATGACTGTCAAGAAAATGGCAAACCTTCTGTCTCATATATCAAAAACACTTGCTTTTTTTTTTTTTTTTAAAGAAAACGCAAGTTGAAATATGCAAAAAATTTCCCAACCATACCAGACATTTCTAGAAGCAAAAAAAAAAAAAAAAATTTTTTTTTCCTCATAGTCTTAGGGGACACCATGGTCAGTTGGAATAACATAGTCCACAAAGAAAATGTTTTCCATCCTACTTTGAAGCATATCAACTATGATCTTAAAAGTTCATAAGCAGCCATTCAAGTGAGGAGGAAAGGTAATGAAATTGAAAATGCTTGGAATCAATTCGTCCAGTGAACCAGAACATCTGTCTTCACGATCTCAGACCGCTATCAAT